TCCAAATCCTTACACACTTTAAGTCTTCCTCTTCTTCACTGTGGGCCGGTCAAACACGTCCCTCACGCCTGCCGCCTTCTGCTTGAAGAACTTGCTGTTCTGAGCGCTCTCCTGGGCCCAGGCTGAGTCGAACGATGTAGTGTCCTGGTCCACCAGGTGGGTGTACTTGGTGCGTCCGGACCGACCAAAGTTTTTCACCTTATGAGGGAAAACAAACCACAACAGGTCAGATCAGAGAACTGGATGACTGCACTGTAACTCAAACTGCAGATATAGCGGGGTAAATGTCCCCTGAACAAGACTAACAGGGATGATCAAAGTTGCGTCCATTTTCTTGGGTTAAAATATTTAACTTGTAAATATGCTTTAGCCTCAGTAAAGCAGTGTGTTAGCATAGTGTTACAATATGCATATAAACATTTGGTAAACGTTATGGACTCAAAATATTTTTAAAAAGGCAAGAAGTAGCCAGATTCACCTCATGTACAGTGTTCCTATTATCAAAATTTTAATTTAAGCTGGTTATGAAACCGTCTCAATTTAATACTGATGCCTCTATAAGACCTACATAAACAAACACGACCATCAGCAAGAAGATCGGCTGTTTCTAAGTAGTTTTTCTTGACGCCTGCTACTGAGACTGATTCAGTCGGACTCCCGTTGGAATCAATGGAACAATTCGGTGGAAACGCTACCGCTTTTGTCCGCAGGGGCCGCCAGAATCAGCACAAAATGGAAGTGTGGGGGCTTTAAACGTATAAGTGATTCAGTGATCACAGGTGAATGACTTTGTTTCTGTGGAACTTTCTATGCCATGCAACCCACAGTGCAGTGAAACACAGATGACGTGTGAGCAAAAAGCAGCTGACCTGCATGACTTTGGGTAAGATGGTTTTGTTGAAGTGATCTTCCAGAGTGGGTGCGCTGAAGTCTCTCTTGTACACGTCGTCCTCTCCGTCCTGTAACAGAAATCATGTTGAACAGTTAAAGACCACTCAGTCGGGCTCTAACGTTTGTCTTTAAAAAGCACCGATAACTGAAACCAGACTGATAAGCTCTGTGAATGTTAAACTGCGTAGGTACATCTTTAGATTTAATGTTGATACACCGATTCATCAGTTCTTTACCTTAGTAGAAGCTTCATTTAACCAGAAAAATGCAGCTCTAAAGATTAAAGATATATTTAAGAGGTGTATGCTGACCAAGATAGAAAGGGATGCTAGAACATAAAAAGTACATGTAATGCAAACGTACAATAAAAAAATATAGAGAATAATAAAGTATTCCTAATACTAGTGAAATAAGGAGTAAAGACCGAACTGCGTTCATGGAAAGAATTCCCCTCTGCAGTGACTTACCATGAAGAAGGCTCCTCTGTGGTAGTACTTCTGGAGGAACTTGTATTTGCCTTTGGTGGCTTTGTTGGTGATGACTTTGCCGCTGTTGCGGAGCTCAGCCCTGCGCTCCTCCTCTGTCAAGTTGTGGAATCTCTCAATTTCAGCCTTCTCCCTCTCCATGCTGAGAGACAAACACCATTTAACACTCATTACCATCAACAGCACTTTGCTTACTGGAAGGTACTAAATATGTCAAGTTAATTTCATCAAAAGGTCACTGTAGGGAGTCGAATCTGTGTTTACTCACAGTTCTCTGGCCTCTCTGTCCCTCTTGATGCGCTTCAGCTCTCGGACTTTCCAGGATTCGTATTCTTCCTCCTCGTTCTCTCCGTCAGTGTCCAGACCGTCGAGAGCAGCCAGCGTGCGCCGGTTCTCCTCAAACTCCTTCTTAGCCTCCTCCTCCACAATCTTGAGGGTGTAGCGCCGTCGCTCCTCCACCTGCTTCTTGGCCTCGACCTCCAGCTCTTTTTGCCGCTGCTCCTCTGCTTCACGCTCCGCCACTGTGACTCTGTCCTTCCTGTGGAGCAAACAGACAGGAGAGACACATTAATCATCATATAAAGCCAAAATGAAGTCGTATTACCGTTTTTATCTATTGTTTATATACTACAAAAAAATCAATCTGAATAAGTCAACACTTATTTGTGTGTTTCATCTTATAAAATCTAATTATGTTCACTTCTCAACTCATCAATGTGCACATAAACACAACGGTTTACTGAATAAATATATTATATATATCTACATTTGCAACCTTTCACTGGAAACATCTCAAGTCACACGAGGAAATCCCAACCTCAGTTCACTAATGGGATATTTAACTTCTTTGAGGGATTCAAACTATGTTAACTAGGCATTTTAGACAGACTCTTGTGTGTTAAAGTGCATTTCTTTGTAGAAACATTTGCAGTCGTTCATACTTGCGGATGAAGACAGGTTTGAGTCGAGGCTCTGCTTCATCCTCGCTGTCTGTGTATTCTTCATATTCAGACTCGGACTCTGATTCCTCCCCGGACTTCCCTTCCTCCTCCACCTCCATGACCTCCATCTCCTCGTTCTTCCGTTCAACAGCTCGCTGCCTCATCATCGCTCGCCTCCTCTCGATTTCCTGCACAGAATGAGAGTCCATGTTAAAAACGGCTCTTCAGTAAAGAAACACTGAATTCTTTAAAGGGTGGGAGAAGCACACATTTAGTTCAAATTAAAACAGCACATATAGTAACCTCATCATCCACTTCTTCCTCTTCCTCCTCTTCTTCCTCGCTACTCTCAATCTCCTGCTCTGGATGCCAGGTGCCTTCATCAGAGTCCTCGCTGCTCTCAGCCACAACTTCAGGCTCTGCGATCTGTCTGTGTCTCGCGAGCCTGAGGACGAAGAAAGAGGAAGCAACGTGGTCCAATGAGCACTTCAGCACCACAAAATGTAACGATCGTAACGGTGAAATAAAACCCTCAGAGCTGCGTCATACCTCTCCTCCACGTCCTCAGAGACACGGTTGAGAAGACGTTTGAGACGTGGGTCAGAGACATCCTCTTCCTCCAGCTCCACCTCTGGCTCCAGTTCCTTTCCCTTCTTCACAAACTGGAAGTCCTCATCTTCCTCGTCGGACGACTCCATTGGGGCGTAGTCGGGACGTTTACCCGACACATACCTCTTCACCTTCACCTTCTCCATGGAGAGCTCCCCTGGGATGTGCAGAGACAATAATGAGTGTAGTCAAACCCTCTGATGCTGAGGGTAAAGACGTCTGCTTGGATCTATTTCAGTTTTTATTAAGAAACCTTAATTAGGAATACAGATTCAACAGCCCTGATGAATAAAATAATGACTTTTTGTCGAGTCAGAAATAAGAGGATTAGGTTTTTTAATCTGATATTAATCCAATAGAGCTGAAACATAAGTTAAATCAATTATCTGCAACGAATTTGATAGTCAAAGAATTGTTTATCACACAAAACTGCCGTAAGATTCGCTGGTTCAGCTTCTCAAACGTGAGGATTTGCTGCTTTTTTTCTGTGTTTTATATAACTTTAAATTGAATTATCTACTCTTCTTTATTTATTTTGAACAGTTGGATCATCAAAAACAAGCAATTAAATGAAGTCACCTCGGGCTCTGGGAAGGTGCGTTGACAAAAAAACAATTAATAGATAAATCAATAGTGAAAATCCAATATTTTTCCGCCCATACCAGCTGACGGTATATAATATATATTGTGCTCAAATCCAGAAGTCACATATATATACCCTATAGTTTTACACAGGGCTGCAAATGATGTTCTTCTGCATCAAACAAACATGTTTACTTACACGTGGAGAATGTGTAAAAAAAAAGGGCATCTCTGCAGCACTTCATTATGATGCTGTTTTCATTCAGCTTTTATTTAAAAATCTGCATTTTAATAGTATTCAGATTTCCTGTGCAGGGTTTGTTTTACACTGTATTGAGTTGTTACCATAAACTGTAAACTCACCAGCAGCAGGTCTTTATATACAGTCGATGGCTGTTAATTAAACTGTGGATTACTTTTAATAAAAAGGATTACATGCTTTTTAAGTTGAGACAGTATATCTTACTAACATTATTTAACAGTAAGTGATCACCACTGTTACTGGAACTTGTAGTTTCTTTATTGATTGTGTTTATAGAGATTATAATAATAATAATTCCTCCACCTGCATTATTTTATTAAACATTTATCGACACCAAAACATCCGTATTAGTTTCTAACGTTACAGAATATATTAGAATCGGTTGTTTATTAAGTCAGCATTCATTAATAACTTTTTATCTTTTATTTACGTTAGCAGTGAGGTTAGCCTAGCACGCCGCTAACCGCCTCACCTTTCTCGTTCCGGACCGGAACCGCTCCGGCGGTGGACTGGATCGGAGGGAGCTTCATGTTGAGGGCTTCGCGACTGGACATGGTTGCCCGCTCGACGGTATCGATTTAATAAAAGTAAAACTATAATAAAAGAGTATTTCACTCGGACAGAAATGAGCTCGACGTCGCTTCAACCGAACCGGAACAGCGAGCGGACCGGAAGTGGATTTATTTCCTCCCAATAAAACAAGAGCACACCATAAATTTAACTTTAAATAAAAAAATCTTATATAACTGATATTTTCTTTTCTTTTCTTTTCGATCTCTGGTTGCCATCAGTGGAATTTATTCCCAAAATAAAACTGAAGTGAAACAGTTGATAATTCTACAGTGTCGCCCCCTAGTGGCTGCGAGCAGGATCAGATCCAGGAGAACTACAGTTCATCAGTTCATCACAACAAAGCTGAACAAACAGAGACACAATAATCCTTTAACTGCTGGTTACACACAAGTAAGAGAAAAAAAATTAAATAAGTATATGAATATATGTATAAAAAGCAACAATGAACAACTACACACACTGTCTGGATACAAGAGAAACTGTTTCTGTAAATGGTAAATGAGATTGTAATAATGCAAAGGGTGCAGGTAAAGTAACATATTACTTTATATACACGACGTAGGTGAATATACAGAGTATGCATGTCTATATAAAGTATATACGGCATGCTTACACTTATGTTTAATAATAATGATATGTACATGTTTATAAAAACTTGTAGGATGTTTTAGTTTGACGGGATCTATACTTGTCATGTCATTTAACCTTCTCTCTCTTCTCTCTTTCTTGATGTTCATTGATACAATACAAAATATATTCACCAGTTCTGGATGCTCATCTTCTGGGAGTGCTCAGTATAATGCCACATGCCTTTTGATCTTGCTCTGATTGCATATTGAGGTTTCTTTTACTTCCAAAATGCCAAAAACATTTGTGTGTTACTTAAAGTTATAGGTAGTAAAGCCTCATTCAGTAGCTGATAACTAATACTAATAATACAGTAAAACTAATACTCATAAACCCTTTTGGAATATCACAACACCACTTTCAACATACCAAAATATAAAGAACACACAAATGTATATGAAATATTATTTATTTGCATAATTTACAAATGAAAATGTATTTTATTTGTAGTTTGAATGTTTTCTTTTCTTCACCGTCAGAGCTGGACTCCTCTCTGTCTGAACAGCTCACCCAGCTTCTCCTCCAGAGCGGAGTTAGTTCCTTTCAGGCCTTTCACCACCTCGCAGGCCCACACGAAATACTCCTGGACCCGCTCGGCTGTCCAACCTGCGCCGCACACACACACACACACACACACACATTCAAATGTGTTTTCACTGAACAAGGAACTGTATCATTTAAAAGAAATACCATTTCTTGTGACTAATAAATGAAGAACAATTACAGTTACAATGTAAGAGCAGTGACGGTGAGAGAGAGGGAGGGAGGACTGACCCACAGGTGTGCAGCGGTTCAGGTCCCTCAGGTTGTACAGTTTATCAGCCAGCTTTACCAGCTTGGCCTGGCGGCTGCAGTGAGCCGCGTGTTCCACCTGCTGACGCTTCCTCTCCTGTTTGGGCAGGCGTTTGTCGTCCGTCACCTCCTGAACGATACGAGCCACGATGGGTCCAAACTTTGCCTCGAGCTCTGCAGGAGAGGTGTCTGTGTCCTCCACCGTGTCATGAAGCAAAGCAGCCTGCAGCACAAAGACAACAGACCGGCTCAGTAATGCAGCAAACACCCAATCTGATAGAGAAAGTTGAAATCAACTGATGACGTACTTGCAAAACCTCGATGTCTGTGACGCCTCCTTCATGGCTGAGGATTCTCGCTACTCCTTAAAAGTACACACACACACACACACACACACACACAGAGGGAAGACTTATTGTTTTCAGCTGAGTTTACATTGACCTTTCGACAAAGTCATTAAAACAACAAGGAAAGTCTCAGTCATATCATACTCAGTTATACTATACTATATATATAGCTGTCTATGAAGCAGACAGCAGTTAAAGGGTTGATGGAAATACAGGCAGAAGAAGAGGATCAACCTATATGCTGAGGAAACATTTGTATGAGACTTCTGTTATACTGACAATTTATTCTTTATTCGCAGCATCCTCATGATTTCCTGATTTCCCTACAAATAAAATGAAATTTAACTTTTTTAACTCTTTTATGAAATGATTAAAGTCCTTAGACGGATCCTTGTGGTACCACACATCATTTGGACTAAGTGTTTAAGTACATTTGAAATGCCAAGCAATATAGTATCAGTATATAAAATGATTTCCATTATTATTATGATTATTACGGCCCAACCGAGGCCAATACAATATCAAAATCAAAGAGTTCTGATGAATCTTATGCAATTCTCTTAAACATAAACAACAATCTTGATACAAATCCTAAATATTTTAGTTACTTATCAACCAACATGAACACCAATACCAACACATCTGCAAAAAGCTAAAGGACTTCTGACCTGTCACAGCAGTAAAAATGGCTCAGTTCCATTCAGTGTCCCCCCAGTGACAGTGGCAGTAAACCAGCGGGACCTCACCTAAACGGAATGCATTAATCATTCACCTGCTTACACCTGTGAGTTTCCTGCTACGACACTACAAAATGTCTGCTGTGCAACAAGCCCTCCTCATCCGATGCATCAACCTGGCCAATTAATCGCTCTGAATAACTAAAAATTAAATTAACACTAATTGTATTCTCCTTTCTTCCAGAACCCCCCCCACACACACACACACAGTTAAACACCTGAAAACTATTTTAAAAACACTTTCAACCCAGTTTTTTTTATTTCGATTTTCTCCGGCGTCGGGAGATTAACGAGCAGCACCTGAAGGCACCACAGCGTAACAGAGTGCTACGTACCGACGGGGTGATTAATGTACGGCGTCTGCTCTACGTCCTTACGTCGCTGGCTACGATGTTTCTCTGCGGCGAAATGAACTGTCTCTAACAACAAAACTGCGTCTGTGTTCATGGTCGACGAACAACAACAACAACAACAACAACAAGCGTCAGGTGATTTGGACTCGAACGCCTCTCCGCCTTGAAGTGTAGCAGTCCGTTGTTTGTGATGTCCGGAGGGAAACGGCTGGCGATGGGATCAGTTCCGCTTGTTTAGCTACGGAAGCAGGTAGGTTCTAATATCAGCTATGCGCCTGTTTTGCGGTCGTTTTGACAGACTCTCACTGCTTGTTTTGATCCTTTATTGAATCTTTTTGTGGAAATTATTTCCATATGAGTGTCGGCGTTTAGACGCTGGCGTTACTCTTGAACATTCATGTGTTTTGAAGGACGTGTTTTTAGCCAACGAGCTAACATAGCTAGTAGGTTAACCACAGCACAGATTTCTGCCTCTTATGTGTGTTTCTCTGTTGGTTTGCAGCCTCTCTGTCAGTACAGAGTGAGTCTCTGGAGTGGTAGGTTATAGTTCAGTCAGTTGTATTTATGTTCTGAGTCCAGTGGATGAGTGAGCGGTGTCCTGTCCCCCTGTTGTGGCCCAGGATGGCTCACAGTGCCAGGAGAGATTCCCCGGAGCTCCCTGACTTCTCTCTGCTCAAGAGGCTGGCCAGAGATCAGCTGGTTTACCTGCTGGAACAGGTAGGTCTCTGCCACCTGCCACCTGCCACCTGACTCCCACTGCAGACGCACCACCAGCTGTATGACTTGCATGCATACACAGCATATGTTAGTGTTTTTAATTATAGGAGCTTCAGTTGAATGCACAGTTCTGTCAGTTACCAAAACGGAGAAATATTGGATTTTATTACACTGAATTACACTTTAAGATGAAGCAGCTGTTAAAGCAGCACGTCTGACCACACCCCATGGTCCTTTGTAAATGATTCTAGTGTCTGGTCTAGTGATAGTCTATGAAAAGACTAAAACCAACTACAAATTACTAAGAAGAATTGTCTGTGTCAAAAGCCTGATATTCCTCTGTGCCACAGAGCTCCGATGTTTTCTGAATACGAATAAACCCACATCAGTGAGCCCCTGGGGGACATACATCCCGCTGCCATAAACTCTCACTGTAACACCTATTGTGGATTCAAATGATAATAGTCCCCAATAAAAACATTATTTACTATTATTTGCTTTGCCTTTTATAAAAAAAAATAAAAAAATCACCTATGTATTTGTGACCCATTTAAAAAGATTAACGTCCTATGTAGGAACCAATGGGCTGATAGTATCGAGAGACAGACTAAGGTGTAATAGGTTTTTAGTATTTGTGTGCATTCATAAAAAGAGAAATATAACAACATTGTTTTAGTATTCCAACCCATAATTAGTGTATTTTTGTATCTTATTTGCCATATGTGCTATGCCCCATACTTGGTTAAGACTGGGAATAAGTGTTTACTTTACAACGTTGCCAAATAGTTTATTTTAATAGGCAGAGAATTTTGTTTGTGTTGTGAATAATAGAACGCATACTTCCCTCTTCTATCTTCCTCTCTTTGTCACACAGCTGCCGGGGAAGAAGGACCTCTTCATAGAGGCAGACTTGATGAGCCCGCTGGATCGTATTGCAAATGTGTCAACACTAAAGGTGAACCTCATCAGCTTTTACTCTTCTGACTCCCGAGGTTGAGAAACTATTAAGAAATACTGCAGTTCCTTTTTTTTTTAAACCCTTTTTACTCCTTTTTCTTTTTTTAACAGGAACATGAAGTCGACAAACTCTACAAAGTGGAATACAAACCTATTACCAGCACATCAGATCAGTGAGTCCTACACACACACACACACACACACACACACACACACACACACACACACACACACACACAAAGTGACTGCCCGACTGACAGTGTGGCATTACTCTCTTACAGGCTCTGTTTTCTGATCCGGCCAAGAATAAAAACTGTGAAATGGATCTGTGGTGAGTAGAGTTGGATGTTTTTTAATGAAAGTTCATATGTTTTATATGTGTTTCTTTCTGACTGTGCTGATTATGTAGGCGTGGGTATTGAACCTTAATGCAGAAGGTTGGGATCGAATGTCTGGTCAGATTCATAATCTTATTTACTAAATTTGATCACACAGTTTGTTATTTAAATCAAAATGTTGGGAAAAGATGTGTTTATATTTTTCAAATGAAGGTTATGTAAAAAAGGATTGTTTTGATATAAAAATCTAGGTGTTGTGTTCAGGTGTTTTTCATGCTATTATTCTTGTTCCAGATGTGGCCAATGCAGACAAGGCAACAGGGAAATTCAGAAGATACAAGATCATCTTTACCCCTCAGAAGGTATTTCTCTCTCTGCTGTTGTGTACAGACTTTGCTTTGATTTGTTTTGGATCAAGTTGTTGATGTTTACCTGCTGACCCTCCTGTGTCGTCCAGTTCTATGCGTGTGAGGCGGTGCTAGAGGAGCAGGGGATCTTTGGTGGTACGTAAGCTTCCTCGATTCTTCACTTTCTGTTTAAGTAGCAGTGAGGAGGAGGAGGAGGAGGAGGAGGAGGGAGGAGGAGGAGGTGCTGAACTGGTTTTTGCCTCCCCACAGATGTGACCACTGATGAATGGGCTTTCTACCTCCTCCCACTTGACGATGACATCATCAGTCTGGAGCTGCCAGAATTTTTCAGAGACAACTTCCTGGTAAATAATGTGCACGGGGTCTGAAATAGAGCTGTAATGATTCATTTTAAGTCAATTAACAGATAATATTGATAATTGCGTCAGAGTTTTTAAGCAAAAGTTCCATAAAATTCCAATTTATTATGGTTTACATGGACCTTGAAATCCTGGAAAGTAAAAAATTAAGGCCTTAAAAGACATAAATAGACATGGGACTTGTATCTATTTGTTTTTTTAAAGTTTTTTTTACCTTATTTTTTTATTTCAATCTTTAATTTGACAGATTAACTAATCAGTATTTGAAGTGTAGTCTTAAAGTCCCACCCATTAAACTTGAATTATTGTGAAATGAAATGTCATTTATAAATCAGTAGATGAAGAAAAACGAAACAAGAATGAAAACAAAAACCACTGTTTAAGTAATTCAAATTGAGTTGTAGCACTCAAGTACCAGCACAGGTGGATCAGGTTGTGTTTCATCACACAGGCGGGGGACCAGCGCTGGGTGAGGACAGCCGGCAGTGCTCTGCACCTCCTTCACTCCCTCTACGGCCCGTTCTCCAAGGTCTACGGGATTGGACGATGTTCTAAGGTGCAGTATGATCAGAGGCCAAAAACTGTCACACCCACTGTGATATGTTTTGAATTGACTAACAGTGATTGTTTCTGCTGTTGTGCATGTTGAACTGCCTTTAATTGTGTATCTGATACCAGATGGCGTACGAGTCGTGGAGGGAGCAGGTCGCAGAGGGAGAACAAAGGACTCGTCAAGCTGAAATAGGAAGGGTTTTTCTTATCGACAGAGGTAAGGAGCAGCCATGTATCTTTCTCTCAGTGGATCATATGCTACGGCGTGCTTTCTTTCCTCCCTAACATTGTCAGTGTCTTTGTGTTTATAGATGTGGACTTTGTCACGCCTCTGTGCTCACAAGTTGTCTATGAAGGACTCGTGGATGATATATTTCGAATCAAATGTGGTGGGTATCAAAGGTTGACACTTGGGAGAGTAGTAACTGAGAGAATTATCATTAAACCAGCCAAATCTGAAAACGCTGTTTACGTGTGTAATCAATGCGACTACACTGGTGTTTTCAAGTCGCTTTCATGAATAACTCGTTAACTTCCGTTAAAACTCCTTGTAGTGTGTTTAACTGTATTGCTGTACTGAGAAGTCAGTCACATGAGGTTTTTATGATCGCTAATATCATCTGAATTTAATTTTTTTAAATGATATTTTATAAGAAATATTGGCCAAGTTTAAAGATTCTCATATGCTGTGTTTTGCTTGCATTTCAAAATCAGTATATTGTTTGTGTTTTTATCAGATGTTTTAAGACGTTATTTTGGCCCCTGATGAGGATTATTTTGACATTTTTTATATTTAAAGCATAAAAAATGTCACTGGAATTAATAATAAAAGGAAGAGTATTAATACTCACAGCTCCGGTTCAGACTGTATTGTATTCCTGCAGAATCAAACCTCCCAGATGTATAATGACACATCTGGTTGCAGATTTTTCTTGCTTTTGTGTCGATGTGTTGTCTCATCACAGCGTCTGTTCTGCAGGATGTGTGGAGTTCGGGCCTGATGTTACCTCTGACAAAAGTGTGAAAGTCATGCTGAACTCTCAGGATAAGGTAGGTTAGTGCTGACGTCAGCGGGGAAGCTGCAGATCTTGCAGCATCATGATTCGAAGTTAAACGTCTGAACTCTCGCGTGTCTCGTAGGTTTTCAATGAAATCAGAAACGAGCATTTCTCCAACGTCTTCGGCTTTCTCAGTCAGAAAGCCAGGAACCTCCAGACTGCGTATGATGTGAGTAAATGTTCATTACTCTCATCAGTCGTTGTAACTAAGGTGACTAACATAGCTAACCCTACAACCTTTACTGATTCTACAGAAGCGTCGGGGTATGGACATAAAGCAGATGAAGACGTTTGTGTCAGAGGAACTCAAAGGGTTAAAACAGGAACATCGGCTACTCAGCCTACGTGAGTGTTACAGCAGAGTGTGTCAGATTGAATTTCAACTAATATTTGCAAGGCTGCATTTCTGAGGAGCACGCTCTCTTTCAGACATCGGTGCCAGTGAATCAATAATGAAGAAGAAAACAAAGCAGGATTTTCAGGAGCTGTTGAAGACCGAACACTGTAAGAATACTTTACTCTGTTACTCTGTCCACATAGATCCAGGTTTTAGTGCAATGTGTTTCTTCATCATTAACTGAGTCGTATCCTGATTGTGAGTCTTCTATTTTGTTCCAGCTTTACTTGAAGGATTTGAAATCCGTGAATGCATTTCTTTCATAGAGGAGCACATCAACAGACAGGTGCGTTTGCTTAAAGGTCCAGTTGTAACATTTAGGAGGATCTATTGGTAGAAATGGAATTTAATATTCATAGGTATGTTTTCATTGGCGTATAATCAGTTAAATGTTTCTACAGTAGCCCAGAACAGACAAACCAAACATTGACTCTAAATAGGCCATTTTCACAGGTTTTGCAGTAACTGTTGATCTACAATCTGCAAATTACAGCAAACTGAGAACAGTCAGCCTTGCAAGCATATTAGGAGAAACTACAGAACTAGTAGTGAAGTTACACTACTAGTTCTTTAAACACAGTAAATATATGTGTGTGTGTGTGTGTGTGTATATGTATATATATATATATAAATATAAGAACAGGTAAAATAATGATTATAATATGCTGAAAAGAAAACTTTGTTGTAAGTTATTCTTTTCGTCTTTCAAGGTCTCCATGATACAAAGTCTGAGGCTGCTTTGTCTTCTGTCTATCACAGAAAACGGTAAGTTGTCTTTATTTATTTATTTATTTATTTATATATATATATATATATATATATATATATATATATATATATAATGTCAAAAAGACAGTTGTTTTCATGCTGGTTTAATGACTTTGTTGCTCTGTTAACAGGACTCATGCCAAAAGATTACAGGTCATTAAAAGCACAGTATCTACAGGTGAGATTAAACATGTGCACAGTCAGAAATTATTGAAAGACAAACAGCAAACAGATGTATATTGTTGAGAATGAGCAATCAGCCTGGTCCTCTAAACCTGGACCGAAGTTAAGGCGCCGCTGCTCTAATGCGACACATTTTCTCTGCTTCCTCATCAGAGCTATGGAGTGGACCACCTGCTCACATTTGCCAACCTGAGGCATTTGGGGCTGTTGGTGGAGCAGCAGCCGGGGGAAACACTGACTGTGATGGAGAGCAAAGTGGGCAAACTGGTCAACGACAAAACTGCAGGTAAAACAGGATTCACTTTGTATGTTTAACCTCCTCCTGATCGCAAAATGATTGATATTTCAAAATCACATGAAACTGTCCTGGTCCTCCTTTCTTTTCTTTTTTTTCTCAGGAAAGCTGACTGACGCCTTCTCTTCTCTTGCAAGGAAAAGCAACTTCAGAGCCCTGAGCAGGAGGCTCAACCTGGTGGGTTCTCATCATCTTTAATATTTTTCTCCAAATGTTTCCATCATGTCACAGAATACCAGTGTGTTAGGTTGTTTTGTCCTTACCGCGCAGAAAATGTTGTATGTTATTAAGTATATTATATATATATATATATTTTGTGTAAAGGTGCCAAAGTCAGGTGAGGAATATGACCTGCGTGTCCCACGAGACATGGCTTACATCTTCAGCGGTGCCTACGTCCCTCTGAGCTGTAAACTCATCGAGCAGGTGAGTAAACCAACAGGCTTCATTTATTCCACAGGACTTGTCAATGACAGAGCATTAGCGCCATGATGAAACTTCGTTTAATGTTATTCCTGGTGTGGTCATCTGCAGGTGTTGGAGCGAGACGGTTGGACGGGGCTTGAAGAAGTCACCAAGCTGCTAAATGGGAATGAATTTGCTGTTACAGGTTAGATAGCCAGAAGATATTAATATAATGAATGCCGTGGACTTTGTGCAGTAATCGGATTTCTTAAACGACATGTAAACCACACACACGTTGTCTCTCATCAGGGAGCAACGGAGCTGATTCAAAAGCGAAGAACGATGCTCAGCGCATCATCCTTGTCATGTTCCTCGGCGGCTGCACCTTTTCTGAGATTTCAGCACTACGATTCCTCGGCAGAGAGAAAGGTAAACATTGATTTCTGATGAGGAGTTTGGATGTTGCACGTGTGTCCAACCCCTTGGTCTTTATTCTTCCTGTTGGTTAGTTTTAGTTTCACTTCTGCTGTCCTGACTATTCATCTAACAGACAGAAGCATCTTTGTATTCTCAACTGATCCTGATGCTGCTTATTAGGTTACAAATGTGGAAGATTTTGTTTACATTTAACATCATTAGTATTGTAGAACATATTGACGCAGATGGTTTGATGTTTGTTGTTAACTGGAAGTTTGAGAATACATGATTTATGTTTATATGGGAGACTCTTTTGATGCCATAATTCCTTGAAATCCCGTGACATCCACGGGAAGAAAATCATTCAGCAGCACTGATCTCTATCTAGGTTTCCCACCCCTTTGTTTCTCTTTTTTTATGATATAAATATTAAACCTACTTACATTCAGTAAGGTGATTGGTCCATAACTTTGGCATATTTTAGTTGTCACAATTGAGCAGTAAATGCTTTATTATACAAGTCTGTAATTTCCTAATAAAGCAAAGAAAAGCTCTATTTCAACCCGATTAAATATTCCTTTAATGTCCATATATGTGTAGTTGTATTCTTTTCTGTACACAAATTTCACATTATTGCGTGTTCAGCTGACTTCCTGTTTACTAACTGAAAGTCTCCTAGGTTACACAAACAAATAACTGGGACCATGAATTAACTTTCTCCATTAAACGACTGGAAAATGTATATTAAAATCATACACCCATAAGAGGAAGCGTTATGAAGTGACGGACCTTGTTGCTATGTGTCAAAATCATTTGAATAAAAATGACTCCTTTCCTTTTCCAGGTTATAAATTCATCGTTGTTGCAACTGCGATCACAAACAGTTCAAGACTCCTCGAGAGTTTGCTGGACAACCATGTATGAAGCCCGTGAACGCACCACGGCTGACAGAAACGGAGACATTGCTGCAGTCACACGTCATTGAAGATGGAAACTGTTCACTAACGGCCTGTGTCCGGCAACGAACACAACTGTAAACATGTATAAAGTGAATAAATGTTTTTAACACATGAGTCTCTTCCCTTCTCTTCATTTTGCGGTTTGAAAAGTCTAAAATTAACTACGGCGTCATTGTTGCGTGAAGCCCTCCTTAGCAATTACATCACCACACCCTCCACTAAAACCGGTGTGTTTGTTTTAGTTCACGAGCTGTTCTGCGGTGGGCGGGTCCCCTTCGTGATTAACTGTAGGAGTGTTCCGACGGCCGGCGCTGGGTCGACACAACAAGCGCACCCGCGGGAGGAGCCAATCAGAGAGCAGAACGCCGCTGTACGCGTATTTTGAACTGCGTACAAACGGCCGGGACAGAGGAGACGCTCCGCTCGTCTCTCTCAGGCGTTTGGTTGTTTTTAAAACTGTTCACGGATAATCGCAACATAATCTGGAATTTAACGATGAGAAAGAGGTAAGATCTTAACTTTTTTTTATTTCTTTCTTTAAGTTAGTTCGTAAAATTGCGTTAAATATTAGCAACTGTTGGTCAGAAAACGTTGGTTAAACTAACGTCAACGTCGGTTAGCTCGATCAGATGAGGACACATGTGTGTGTTTTATTTAATTTAAATGTTATTAACGAGTTGGTTATTTAATAAACGAGTTGACCTTTTTCTCTCTCCGTCCGCGTAGCGAGGTGCTCGCAGCAGAGTCGGTGTCGTGCCTGAATAAAGCACTGTGCCATCTGAAGGACATTTGGGAAGAAATCGGTATCCCAGAGGACCAGAGACTACAGAGGACTAATGTCGTCAAGAACCACATTAAGGTGAGAGAAATACCACATAAAGTTTTAAACCTGTAGTGAAACCTGCTGCTTTTTCTAAAGTGTCGATCTGTGCGGGGTTATCACTGAGCCTATGGACAGGTTTCGACAGGGGGGGGGTACAAGAACACAACAATCATGAGTGAAACTGTGAGGAATGTGCTCATTGCTGCACAAAGGAGAGTTTGTTTAAGGTTTGGTTTGCATTTATTCTGACTGATGCTGGATTCCCGAAATATGCATTGATTGGGAGTGTAAAAATATACTTAATATGACAATGGCAATGTCTCTAGATGACCTAAAGCATGTATTTGTCACTTCTGTACTACAGTTTCTTCTTGCTTATCAGCTGTCCCATATGTTGATCCTGCAATATATCTATGATGGGATAGTGTTTACTGTTTATTTATCTGAGTTTTTCTTATAAATGTCAGTGACCATGACAGGTGTTGACCTCTGCAGGCCGCCTCCTCAGTGTGGCTGCTGTTGGAAGGATGTTGGTTACTTTTGGGAAGGTGGTGAAAAAGTTAGTTTGAAGCCCTGTGATATAACTCATGCATCTTTCTGTAAACCATTGCCTAAATTTACACCACGCTCTCCTAAATACCAGTCATGTTCTGAAATCTGCAGCATAACCCAGTGTGTGTTTTTTGTTAATTGATACAAATGACCATCTAAAACAACATGTTACTGGCCCAGATAACCATGTATATGTGATTGTAATGTGCATGAAATAATGGTATTATGCATGAGTTTTCTTTTTGATATCGGCATTACATATCAGCCGCCCTGCTCTCTAAATATCGTCATCGGCCAGTGAGAAACCGATACTGGTTGACTGGATTAATATCAAAGCAATGGCTCATTTATCACACAGCTGTGGGGTGTGGATGATTCATCAGTTAACTACAAGTTCATTACTACAGCCACATTGGGCTGTTTCTATTTAAACTACTGCTGTTAGATTTACCAATGTTAGATGAGTGCTGATGCTTTTTCTGCATTGATCAAACCTTTTGTGATGAGAAAATGCAGCAGATTTTCCTCTTTTGATATTTACAAAAACTTGTTTTCAGTCACAACAGTGTGACAGCTAGTGTCTTTCCGACATACAAACTGGTGCGTAATACTGATTGATTGCATTGTTTCATTGTATTTATCCTCCAGACCTTACTAGACATGATGATCAAAGAAGAGGAATCCCTGAGGACGCGGCTTATTAGCAGCATTCAAACATGCAGGACAGAAATGGAGAAGCTCTGCCTGGATCTTCAGCTGCCCGTGTTTGAGGTAACAGCAACTGTAATAGCATCAACATATTTTTTACAGCACTGGCAGAGTGACATTACTAACACTAGATTTCATACAAATCTATTGCAGGGTTTTCTGTTACTTTCAGTTTATTTATATATATGTTAATATAAAATGCTTCTCTGTCATTAGTGTTTTGGTAATAAACAGATTCATTGGCTAGAAAAACATCTTGTAAGGTGGATTTGTTGTCCTCTCCTGTTCAGGAGGAGAGTGGTATCAGCATGCTCCAGCAAGAGAAGAACATCCGCACGCAGGTGGAGGCTCTGATGAAGGAGAAGACGCAGCGGATGCAGCAGCTGAAGGTTCTCCAGGACCAGGACCAGGACCTGTGTGACATCCTGTGCTGCATGCCTTATGGCATCGCTCCAAACTCTGTCCCCTCACCGGAACAGCTGGAGAACTTCCACCAGCACATCGTTAATCAGAACGCAGAGAAGGTGAGAGCTCGCTTTGTTAGATGTCCATCTCACCAATTCAGTTAACTGACTGCGGGAATAGAAAAGCTGTGTTTTGATTGTTTGATTAAAGTCACACCCTCCATTCATTTTCAAATGCTAGTTACATAATATCAAAATAAATGGTTCAAAGTAAGAGTGCTTTGGTTCTCTAAGTTCCTAGATAGTTTATATTGTTGTGGTATAATTGTTTTCACCTGACAAGAGATATCCGATGGCTTTAAGATCATATTTTTTTGTCTTTTGTTTCACATTTTTTCACATGAAACACGACCCTGGGAGTTGCACGTACTAGTCTCTTCTAAACAAAAGCATTTAGGCCACTTGGACTGTAATCACATCACCTTAGGAACATTTTCTGCTACTGACAGTTAGGATAACTGATCCAGAATCTGTCATTACATTTGAGGAAAACATTTTGTAATACTCTACTGAATGCTAGTTGCCTTTTTAAATTAATTTATTTATACGTTGGGTTTCTAATACTTTAAACCTTTGTCATAAACACAGTCTCATCTGTACTTACCCGAACGGTTTGCTGCTGTCTTGTTTTCAGGCGAGGCGGTATGCTGAGTTCACGGACCTCAAAAAGCAGATCATCCTGTACATGCAAGAGCTGGACCACATCCCTGAGACCAGCTTCGAGAAGGACGTCGTCTGTGAGGATGAGGACTCTTTTTGCCTTTCTAGAGACAATATTACATCACTCAAACTGCTTGTTTGTCAGGTAAGATCCTTTTTATGACATTTCATTTAGTGAAACTTTGAGCCCTTTTTTAAGGATAAAGAAAAATTTTCCCACAAACTGTAATCAGGCCTGGAATGGCTAATGTTATATATAATCCAGTCAAATATGAATAATAAGTGATTCTGCACTGTTAATTTAAAAAAAAAACAACCCTTGGACAGACGGGATGCACAGCTGTAGTTCAAGCAGCGGAGTTGATAACTGATGCTGCTTTGTGTCATGTTGATCCTGCAGTTGGAGGAACGCAAGGCAGAGAACGAGGCGACGTGTGAGGCTCACAGAGAGAAGATCCAGCAGCTGTGGGACAGACTGCAGGTGCCCCAGGAAGAAAGAGAGGCCTTCAACGAACACATGGTCTCATCCAGAAGGAGGAACCTGGAAGCGGTGAGAACATTCGAGGTGTCCTGTGGGGCCAGGGCTGACTTCCTAGTTCAACCTTTTTTTCAGGCTCAGCTGTGACTGTCTGTACTCTGGCTGCTGTTTTGCTGTTCACTTCACACTTTATATTTTTCTTCCTCAGCTACAAGCAGAAGTTCAGCGTCTGGAGGAGCTCAAACTGCTCAACATCCGCAATGTCACTGACGCCATCCGCTCCGAGATCGCTGTGCTTTGGGAAAAGTGCTTCCTCAGCACAGATCAGCGGCAGGCTTTTGCACCGTATTTTAGCGGTGGGTTCTCTTTGACGTTTCAGTTGTTGTAATCAGAACCATGTTGGGCTTTAGAAAAGTGCTAAGACTGTAATTGACTTTGTTTTTAGAGGATTTTACTGAAGAGCTGTTGACTCTGCACGATGCTGAGATCCAGCGCCTGAAGCAGCATTATGAGGATCACAAAGAGCTTTTTGACGGAGTTCACCAATGGGAAGAAAGCTGGAGACTCTTCTTAGAGCTGGAGGTGAGTTCACTCTGAAAAAGAGGGAAGGAAAGTAACACCCGGCACGAACAACAATCGAATAGCAACAAAACGTTTCTGTCCAATATAATAGGAAAGGTAAATGTAAGTGTGACCACTAAAAAAGCAGTAATACGCCGTTTGTCTTCACTGTGGGTATGTGATTGAATTCTGATTTCACAAGCAGCCTATGATTAAACAGTCTTATTAAAGTTTATTTAGGTAGTTTGGATTGAATTATTTCAGAAACAATGAAGCAGCCATCTTTAAGCATACTGCTGCTATTGCTGTACTTTTCCCTCTGTTGTGTCTTTATAAACCTGACTATTGCACCCCTACATTTATTTATTTTATCTGCTTACACTGCCGCATGTTGGAAAGAATTGTTATATTATAATCTCTCTTTCATCTGTTTCCTTCACAGAAAAAAGCCACCGACCCGACAAGATTCACGAACAGAGGAGGGAATCTTCTCAAAGAGGAGAAACAGCGGTCTGAGCTGCATAAAAGTCTGCCCAAGGTAACGGATTAATGAAATGCTTCCTATCGTTTCCTGACTAACTAAAAATATATTTTCATTTGATCTAATTTGTCACGTGTATGTGTTTTTTGTTTTAAGCTTGAAAAGAAATTAAAAGCCCAGATCGATGTGTGGGAAGGTGAACAGGCTCGTGAGTTTCTGGTAAACGGGCAGAAGTTTCTGCAGTATGTGGAGGAACAGTGGGAGCTGCACCGAATAGAGAAAGAGAAGGAGAAACAAGAACGGGTGAGCGAGCTGCCTTGTCGTATTAGAGGCTTAGCCGATATGTTTGCTGGGAAATGTGTTGACACTTCTCTTTACACACATTCTCAACAGCATCTGAAGAAGAGCAAACAGACCGAGGAGGACATGCTGTACGGCACGGCAGTACGAACCCCCACCAAACGCAGATTCCTCGCCACTCCTACTTCAAATAAATCACGGAAGGTGGTAAACCCAGTTTGTGGCTCACTGTTATAACTATGGCATCAATTCTCCGGGCAACACTTTTAAGTCTTTGTAACATTTCAACTCTGTCGCTTTGTCTGTAAATGTTTAACAGATTATCTATAAAGTATAGGTACCAATTCATGAACACACCCTATAGAAAGATGTTTTTTCATCTCAACTAATAAGCTGTTAAAATATTACAAATACTCTATAAACTATCTGTAGGCGGGTTACACCCCTTTGTTCAATATAAATTCTGTCTTTAGTCGTCTGGCTCTGTCACTAACCCTCTGTCTCTGTCTCTCTCACCAGTTTAACGCGACTTCCAGCATTTCTAGTGCCACCTCTAACAGCACCATGCGCTCTGCCTTTAGTGGAACTGTCTGTCGCTCACCTGTGCCCCGCCCACCTCTCTCAGCAAACAAGGTTGGTTTCTTTTTCAAGATGAAAGAAGTAGGAGTTATACACGCACAAACAGGAGATGAGGGGGAAATAAATCTGCACACTCAGTTGAAACTAAAAATGGTCAATTTACACTGAAACAGAATTATTATCATCACTTTCTGTGATTATTCAATATTTTGGTCCAGCTCATCTGATGTAATTATCTCCTGATATGTGTCCTCCAGGGTCCAGCACCACGGACGCCAGTTGGCGGCAAACCCCCCCACCCGCGACTGCAAGGCTGTAACAAGGAGAACGAGGCCCAGCTGAAGGGGACTCCTCTGAGTGGTGCGTTGCTGACCCCCGCTAGCCCACAGCGTAACTTCAGCATAACCTCTGTTGCCAGCACGTATTCAGAGTTTGTGGTAATTTACACTTTTGTCTCTAATCTACTTTCTCTGCATCTTTTTGCTCAGTTCTGCTCAGTAACACATTTAAGAGCACTGTAGAGGTTTTCAGATGATGTACAAATGCTAATGCTGTAAATTTATATTGTAGAGGGACTTGGTCAACACTGAATCTGTTCAGTCAAGGTGTGTTTGGAATCCTAGAAGCTTGTGTAATTCTGACTAATCTCTTTTTGCAGTAATTGCATGCCTCTAATCGGAGGGATAATTACCCTTTAAAGAGCAACTTGAATTCTGTTTCAGCTTCAGCGTGCACAGTTAGCAGGCATTCAGACTGAAATCAGCCCAGCGTTCAAAAACATGCAGCTGTGTGTGAGTGGTGTTTCTTCAGGTACTGCTGAGACAACAGATCCATGAATTTGACATCTCAGACGCTAAAACACTGAGAGTGTTGTTTTGCTGTAGTTACCTGCGTTCACACGCTGCCGGTGGACTGGCCTCATTTAAACGAATGAGAGGGCTGCGTTTTTTCACACGGGGCTCAAGTCGGTCTGAATGCGGCCTTGCGAACCCAACCACCCCTGAGAGTCCCACGCACTTCACAGCTCTGACAGATTGTTGTCTCTGCCGTTTATACCCCTGATGTTGTAACTTCTAGTCATCTGTCTGTCAGCTTTATTTTTATTCAGTTAAGAAAAGCACATATTGTTTCTCTAACTACGTTTAATTAAGCAGCATTTTCAATCAAATAGCATCCTGCTGAGGTAGGAATTGCTAAGTAAAAGTAGACTGCAGCTTCAGAAACGAAATGGCTTCACCAAAAGTCAATAACAACACTTTACAAAATAACTTGGTGTAAATAACTTCATGAGATTTTATAGAGCTGAAACTTAAAATGCTGGATTCCTGCAGTAAAAAGCTTATTGGTCAGAATTTAAAACCTTGTTAGTCCGTCTGTGTGATTCTCTTCTGTCTAATTCACACTAACATCCTTCAGTGTTTCAGCTCATAATGATTAGAAACTGTTGAGCGCATGTTTGCTTCCAAGTGTCGTCTCTTCTTCATTTAGTCACATTACATGCGAGGAATTAACCACAACGGCTGCTTTTGTGCTCCCACAGCGAGACCTGTCCAAGGCCTCTAACGCCAAGATCCAGCACGACATCCTGAACTCCACCACCACCAACCTTTGACCTCTCCGCTCTGACGGTGACTGCGTTGGCTATCACATCGTAGTCCTTTTAAACAAAGTTATGATCTCCAATACTGGCTCACTGCCTTTCAATGCTATCTGCTTTTATAATATGTAAATGAAGGTAATAATATATTAAGTGTTAAGTCGGTGATAAACAGGGAATCTTGCCAGTTTCTGAGTGTTTCTTCAGCGTTTCTGGATCTTTGTTTGTCACTGTCTGGAAGAGAAAAGAAAAGTTTGTATCCTAAGTTAAACTAACACTACTTTGGCTCTCTAAATTCTGCCAGTTATTGAGATGTAATTAATGTTCTCTGCGTCTTGTACTGCAAATTTTTTTTTTTAAAGAGAAACGAAAGAAAGTTTAGCTTTCTGAAGTTATGCAATCTGGAGTTACAGGCCAAATGTATTATGAATACTTTGCACTTTTGTTTTGTTTTTTTAAAATATATTTCAGCGCATAGTGTAAATTCACACACTCACACTGTTCCATCCAAATCTGTTTTTATACATGTATGTATGTGTTTGTGTACATATTTCTGTATCTGCTGTTCTCTTCATAGAATCTGCACTGTTTGACAAAAATGTTAGTTGTTTAAACAGGCCGTTAAGAATGTTAGTTAATGTATTGGTGCTGCATAACAGTTTAAATATATATCTAAATCACATGGATCCAGTACACTATCATGGCTGATTTTTTTGGAATAGCTTGTCAAAATATATTAAATGCATTTTCACTTGAAAGGCTAAGTGTTGTGAAACAGCAAATTTACCACCAAAAAAAAGCAAACTACAGTATATTTGAACGTCTGTACACCAGCTTGTTGTTGTTGTTTTAGCATTTTCACTCATTCAGCCTCATCAACACATCAGATGTGTTTGAATTTTATGAGGTGTGAATGCTGACACAACAGTAGACTGATTTCACAATCCAATATGTGGCTCCCAGGTGTTTTATTTGTTCTGTTCTCTTGTAGACAAAAACTAGTAAATCAGATTTTTCAAAAATTGCTCACAAACCACATTTTCTATATTACAGATTATTGACACTGACTCTGACACTCTGTATTCTGGCTCATCTGTTGCCAACAGAAATCTAGTCAGAAGAATGTGAGAGAGCATTGATTACAAACTCAATCACCCTCTCTGACCTTAGTGTCAGCAGATTCCTCTGATTGAAAGACTTAGCCATTGGACTGTGATTAGTCTTGTATGCACTCAGTTAATCTCTCAAATCTGAAGCTAAATACCGACTTATCAGTGCGGCAGCATGTTTGATTATGGGATTTGAACGAGATCTGAGAAATTGAACCTAAGTGGCAAAATAAATCTACCACCAACTGGTAACAAACAGCTCAAGATGTATTTGAGGTCATCTTAAAGTACAGTCGGCTGGTTAAATAAATCATTGCTGATCAAACATCAGCACACATGATGACCTGCTGTTATTTGATTGGTCACTCAGTGGGCTTTGTGCTTGTGATATGACAACCAGACGTCTGGCTGCTTTCATTGTCCTGTAACTCGCCCAACCGGCTGCCAGATTAGTTTAGTATTCACTTTCCTTTAATCTCTGGTTCTCCACCCACTCCTATCACACATATCTGTCTGTGGCTGCTGATTGTTCAACTCTCTTCACCACTTTTCTTCAGCCCTTTGAACATGTCATACGTATGATATGTAGCCACTCTGAGCGGTTATACTGTTTAAATCCAGTCTGAAGAACCAAAACAATAATGAGTGAAAAACTGGCAGAAATCTGCAGCTGATGTTGATGTTATTGATTCATATGTAGTGTTAGCTACTTGCAACCCTGTCACATGTTAATATCATTCATGATATATAAAAAAGTGGATAATCAGCCTCAAAATATCACATCTTTATGACATAAAGGTTAGTCTCAACATTTAAATAATTAATGAACAATTTGCTGCTCCTGGACTCTGGGACAGCCTTCTCCAAAGTCTCAGAGAAACTAATCCAGTACACATCTTTTAAAAGCATTTCAAAACCCAGCTGTTTTCTTTAATCTTCATTTTTTTAAATGTTCTATTTATGGTTTGTATACTTGTCTTTTCCCCTGTTTTCAGTTGTGTGTTTTTAAGGTTGTCGGATTAAAAATTATATTAATTTGAAAGTTTTTGACATTGTCAATAAAATACATTTTAACAAAATAAATAAATAAAACTTGAACTAGAACAGCAAATTGATTGTCAATGAACAGATAATTGCTCTGAGTGTTCCTGGCTCTCAATTTCAGGTATTTTACTCTGAAGGACTGGGGCCGGAAGTTCTGTTGTCACCGGAAAACCCGTCCGGGGGAGGAACACATGCTGAAACAAATAGCCCAGTCACTCAGTGTGTAGGTCAAACACACTACATACAATAACACTATTGTAATGAAGAGCTGACCGACTTTGAACGCTCAGTTGTTGTTGTTGTTTTTTTACATTATTATTATTTTTTAAACTAACTGAGTCATGTCCGGAACGTTAGCCAGGCTGCTTTTCTACCCGACGTTAGCCTACAATGTTGTCATGGAGAAGGTGACGTCGCGGCGCTGGTTCGACCGGGTGGACGGGACGGTGATCCTCGGAGCTCTTCCGTTCAGATCCATTACCGGACAGGTCCGACCGCCGCACACTGTCCTCTGCAGTTGTTCAGTAGTTGAACTGTTAAAGGAACTCGTTCTTTAAGTTTTTTCTATCCTATGCACCACTTTATGTGTTGCACAACTTCCCTGCTGTGTGCTTTATATATGTTATGTTGTCATTGCTCCATTATTTCACATGCCAAGCTTATTATTATTATTATTATTATTATTATTATTATTATTATTTTGCTTTTTTTAAACAGAAATCATATAGTTTATATAATTTTATTTTTTTGAAGTTTTAAAGTTTTCCTCCTGTGTTGCTTTATTTAAATCTGTAGCTATGTGATTGTAACTGTCAGATTTCAGTGTTAAAGCCTTGTTAAAGGGTCTTTGACTCTATGAGCTGATTCCCAGTTTCCCTTTCTTGTGTTGCAGCTGGTAGAAACAGAGAATGTCCGAGGGGTCATCACCATGAATGAGATGTATGAGACCAAATATTTCTGCAACTCTGCCGAGGTGAGTTCACTTCACTTCACAGTATTTTATTAGAATTAGCCTACATATCTTTTGTTATACTCCTCAAGAGATGGATTTCATTTCGGTCTCGTATTTATGTCGGATGATGTAAATGTAAGCTGAACAATTTTTTATAATCAGTTCATTATTTTGTTCATTTTAAAGCAAAAAAAAAAAAGCCAAACATTTGCTAGTTCCAGCTTCTTCAGTGTGCTGATTTGCTGCTTTTTCTTTGTCGTTTATGATAGTAAACAGAATATCTTTGAATTTGGGCTCTGGGAAAGTATAACAGGCATATTTCACTATTTCTTTAGCTTTAATCGCCCAAATAATCAACAGATTACTTGATCATGAAAAATGATTGGTAGGTGCAGCCTTAGATTGGTTTAACCAGAAGATATAATAATAATAATAATAATAAACCTTATTCTCCACAAAGTGCTGCTGAGATCTTGAAACCAGACTGTTGAGCAGGCTGATTTCAAACAGTGTCAGCGGTTGACTTTGTCTGATGTGATGTGTTTGCTGCTGGTTGCAGGAGTGGCAGGCTGCAGGGGTGGAGCAGCTGAGGTTGAGCACCGTTGACCTCATCGGCGTTCCCAGCCTGGAGAACCTGCACCGAGGCGTAGAGTTTGCCCTGCAGCACCGAGAGCAGGGGACCAGCGTGTACGTCCACTGCAAGGCCGGACGCTCCCGCAGCGCTACACTGGCTGCTGCGTACCTCATTCGGGTCAGTACATAACTGTGGGGAGGTCACTCTGTGTGTCTGCTGTTTGCACTCCAACCTAGATATCAGTTTTAAGTCGAAGGTAAGCACAGCAAGTGAGGGAACAGAAAAATAGAAGCATGTTTATAGTCTTACACAATGCACTTAAAACAGAACTGACACGCACACACCGTGTGGACACTGATAGGATGTATGTCCTTTTAACACTGAGCTTTTCTGCTGACAGTTACACTGCTGGACTCCAGAGGAAGCCTGTCAGAAGCTGGCGTCTGTTCGACCACACGTCCTGGTTCGCTCCGCTCAGCTGGAGATGCTGAGGACATACTACCAGCAGGTGTGTGGACAGTCCAGCTGAGAGAGAGCAGGGGCGGCGGCTCAGACCTCATTATGATCCCACAGAAGCTGGAAGACTGGACACAGAGTCTTGTGCAAAGCCACAATGACATGACACACAGTTGCACACAGCTGCACAACTACTTGTTTTCCCCTTTTTGTTTTTTAATCTTTTCTTTTACTGGGAAATGGTTTTAATTTTACAGCATATCAGTGAGCTCGGTGGCTGCCTGGTTTCCTACTTGAGGCTGAAACATTCACTCAGTATTTAATTTAACGAAATGCAAACACTTGGAAACTTTCCGAGCTGTCATCCTGTGTGAATTGCTGTGTGTGCTTGTTGTGTTTGGCGTAACAAGACGAGATGGACATTTGAGTGTGGAACTCAGCAACGACGCAGTTACTGTGTATAAGCATATTTTGCTATGGTGCCTCATAACTTTAAAAAAAATACTGAAGATGTTCAATAAAATATTTGTATGATGAATACAGTCCAATGGTTACACGTGTGTGTGTGTGTATATATACATATGCATAAAAGCTGCCTTACTAATGTGATGGAAAGGCATTAAAACATACCAATCTACTGTCAGAGCGCTGCTGTTTCACATGATGGGACAGTGTAAGAACGTCCACCACATCCATTTGAACTACTGCTGAAAAACAAAAAGGAAACCTACTCAAGAACCCGGTACCTGACGTTTATTGCTGAGTATAGCGAGTATATTCTTCGTGTGTGACTTCCTCCACCACTGATTTACGATGATGTGTTATAGGCTATCAACAGTGGACTGTACAATCATTTATTCAAGTACTATACTTACAATAAGTGCAGTTTTCAAGCACTAGCAGATAGATGTTATGCTATTTTATACTTCTGCTCCACTACATTTATTTAACAGCTTTAGTTATTTCGGATTAAGATCTTACAAACAAAAGATGTGATCAGTATTTAAAATAAGATGTTATGTTATAAATCTAATTACCCAAAGGAATATTAAGCATTTAAAGTAAGCTCCACTTTAACCAGCTGTAATACAGTAATATATATAGATATAACACTAACAAGGGCCCATATATGTTTCATTCTACATGTTATCACACAAATAGATTTTTTTTTAATGTTTATTTTATTTTGGATGCACAACTTTTACTTTGAATTGAGTATTTCTATAGTGTGATAACTTTTACTTATTATTTGAATATTTCTTCCATCACTTTAAGCTATAATAGCCAGTACATGTCACGTATGAAGGCACGTTTCTTTGCAGTAATTCTAACTTTGTTGATATTAATGTCCGTATGTTCAGAATGATGTGAGGTCCTCTGTCAGGCTCTGGGAGGGTGTGAACCAACTGAAGGTTTATTTGGAATTAAAAGGAAAAATAATTTAGATTTATTTATAATTTTTAACTTAAATTTAAACTGACTGTTCAAACAGTACATAGAGGAGACTTCTCCTCCGGCCCAGCAGGAGGCGACACCCCGCGAACAGTCGCGTCTCTGACCGAAGGAGAACCGCTGCAGAACGAACATGGCGGCGTCGCTGGTGCGGTTTGTCCGCGGAGGTCT